TATAATAAGACCACTCTACTAACCCCTTGTTACAGCTAGTACTTTTGTTTGCTTCTTTGATTCAACATTGACACCAATATAATAAGACCACTCTAACCCCTTGTTACAGCTAGATTTGTCTATTACTAATTCTTTTTCTATCCATACTATGAATACTAAATACTAGAAGTATCATGTTGACAAGCATCCATTGGGAACCAACAAGATATGGTTACTGGTGGGGTCCCAAGAATAGTGAGTTGTTGACCCTTAGTAGTTAAGAAGAACGGGGACAGTAAATTTTGGCTGTTTTTTTTTGCCATATATTGACTACTTTTACTGACAATTTTGTTGTATGACTCATCATGTGATACAGCAGAGGATAACGGATGTACTGATAGAGATAGTACTACTAGTACCACTAGTACTACTACTAGTAGTAGTACCACTTGTACAAAAAGTGCAGATCCAAAGGTGGTGTGCTGGTGCCAATTGAAGTTATTCCAGTATGTGTGTTGACAAGGGTGAGACAAAACCTGGTGGAGATGAGGCTGGTGTGTTTTTTTATTACTAGTACTAAAAGCTGTGCATTTAAAATGTAGTCATAACCAATTCCAGACAAGGACCAAGTACTTTTCTACACATATGGTAGTACCATTTGGTCCTGGACCACACCTCCTTAAATAACCCACCAAAGTGGTCAGTTTGATGGTTTGAATTTTCACCATGCAATAACAATGTGAGTGTGATACATGGTGTGACACAACAATTTTTCTTGCAACTGCACATCACACTCACATTGTTATTGCATGGTGAAACAGATCTAATTATAATTCAAACCATCAAACTGACCATTGGAACTGCAATATCTCAATAACCAGCAAAGCATGCTAGACCAAGTCCAGGGTACCCTTACAATTCTCTCACTCTCTTTAGTAAGTTTGCCAAATATTGTTCTGGTTTTACATGAAATCATCTGTTTATAACTGCCCCAAATTGTAAGCTATGTCATCTCACTTTGTACAGAACGCAATTCCCAAGGGCACTTGCTCAATTTTTGTCAGACATGGAATGTTTTGTCCAAGATAAAGCCAAAGAAGAAGAGTAAACCAAGGAAATCTTGGCGGTCATCATGTGACAAAGTATCCAGATTCTGAAATTTGAAAAGAGCAAAAACATCATGGAAGAGTCCATCTTGAAAAAATCATGATAACTGATTGGAATCAAGACAAGTCCATAGAAGAGGAAGATTTTGCTTCTTAGAATGAATCCGTCTCTATTGATGATTTTTTGACCATCGGTATTCAGGATCAAAAACATCATTGTCTAGCTTTGGATAGCTATTGTTGACAAATCAATCCGTATATTTGCCAAGGTCTTGAGAAATAAAGCTCTTCACAACTTAGCCTCAACAAAGAATATTGAGTCTGTCCAGAAATTCTCAAATGGCATGATTAAATAGAAACCAACTACAAGGAAAATATGACAATACAAATTCAGGGTATGCTATCATAGGAGTCCATCCTGAAAGGATATCTTCCAGAATTATTGAATACACATTCAAGCCTAATGCTCCAAAGGAAAAACATGAAGAACTGGAAGCCAGAGCTGCTAGTATTCTAAAGATGCCCCAGGGAAGTATAACTTTGTCCAACAGTTTTTTACAGAAAGAACATTCAATCATGAAGGAAATTGTGCAGCGGAAAACATTAAACACAGCAGTTGGAGAACATGCAACAGCATTTTAAATTGGTAAAGATCATCATTCTCGATGCCATACTGACCCAGACATGTACCACACACTATTAACTGCTGCAGCTCCATCAAGAGATCAGGACTATGAGGTCATATATTACTTCTCACATACAAAATCTGAATTCCCTTGCAGTCAGGTGACATGTTACTGTTCAACCCATCTATCCCACACAGTTGCAGCAATCCAAAAATGAAAGTCACATTCATTATGTCTGGGTATGTTACTACAAGAACTGTGCTACAGTGCAATCCTCTATAATATTCTTGAACATTTTTTTAAAAGGTCATGTTGTAATGACATGACCTTTCCCCTCTGATTAGAATTTTCACTGAAACATTCTGCATTTGGCTTGGGAGCTACCCGTTTCAACCTAGTGTTGTTATGGCTAAAAGTTCTGTCCTCACCAGAGAGCCTCACAGTTCCCAATTGCAAAGTGTGCTCTTATTTGCAGCCCTTGTGTAAACACATGTTGCACAACATTGCTCAAGCAATAACCAAAATACTAAAATGTCAGATAAATAATAACTGCAACCTGGGGTTTGTGCACAGTGCGGTTTGCAGTGTGGTTTGCAGTGCAGTTTGCTGTTTGCACACATTGCAATTTGTGAACAGTGCTGTTTGCAGTTTATGCACAGTGCAGTTTGTGGTGCGGTTTGCGGTTTGTGCACAGTGCGGTTTGCAGTTTGTGCTTGTGCACAGTGTTTGTGCACCGTGTGGTATGGTTTGTGGTTTGTCCACGTTGCGGTGCAGTGTGCAGTTTAAATGAGTGGAATTTTGCCAAGATTACTGATTTCTTCTCTAGGGTCCTCATTGAGCTCACATTCATACTAGGAGCCCAAAAAGTGCTGTTGGTATTCTTTCTTTTTTGCAGATTCTTTTTACAGCAGCTGCATACTACATCTTGTTGTTCATGCATTTTGTATTATCTTCAGTGTTGAACGATGTTAACAACTTGATGTTGAACCATGCACTGTTGTTGCAGAAAACAATGTCGTCCATTTCACCATGGCTATGGTGAAACTGGTACAAGAGGTAGAAGCCTAATGCTGCGACAGGACACTGATTCACATCAAAATTTCTTGCCATTCTCCCATAGAGTTTGAATAGACAATTTACTGTTGTAAACTGCATTATCATTACAAACAAAGGGTGTGTATTGTCTTCCTTTTGAACAAGAACTTGGAAAACATCTGATAGTTCTGCCTTGAACAATTATCTCCCTGTAACAATCTGCACATGGTGGAAAGGAATGTGAACCAGTCCCAGAGATTTGACTGAATAACTTTTTTCCCTGATGACATCTCAATGCCATTGGTGAAGAATGAAGCCTCTATGGCATCTATATGTTGATTTGCTTCCATTGGTGCTGAATTATTTTCCATCTTTTCTTTGTAGTTTTTCCTATCCATCCATGGTTGACATCCTTTTACATGATTCATAATTTGAGATATTTTCAAGGGGAAAACCATCTCTTCACTATGTGTGTTGATTCCATCATCCCACTGTTGTAGCCACATTTGTTGGAGAGCAGCTTTGGTGTTATTCATCACATTCCAGCCCACCCCATTTTTGAGCTCTAATTTCTTCATGAGGCTACTTTTGAGGAGCATGTTTTAATAGTAGTTTGCGACAACCAGAGTCGATATTTGTTTCCACTCATCTATATCAAAAGTAAATGATTTTGCCCCTTTCTTTTTCTGTCCTCTTTTTTTCTGCTCCCAGAAGGCAACATAGAGCATGAATTGTTTTATTTGGTCTTGGTTGACAGTGTATCTTTTTTCAATTCTCATTCCACTACAGATGGTGTTCTTGCAAAAAAGCTGGAACCCGCCTTTCTTTGCTTCATAGGATTAAGGTGTGTTCTTCATCCTCCCATGCTTGTCAAGAGTTGTCTTGTTAATCATGGATTCTATTCCGTGATTGACTTGTGTGTTATCCATTGTTTGGATTGTTGAATGCCCAAAGACCATTACGGCAGACAGAGAAGAATCATTTTCCCGTTCCACCTATGCCGCTGCAGGGTCATTCTCCTGTTGCTGTTGTCTTGTTGGAAGATTCTCAGGAAAGGAATCAAATAGGTCTTCCACAGTATTAAGAGGATTTTCTGGTGTTGTATTTTCCATTGCAATTGGTGCTTGCCGTATTGGTTTCTTGGGCGGATGATGTTGCAGTTGGTGTAATAGGAGTTTGTTTCATCACGGCACCGGTCATAGTATTTAGTCCAGCAGTTCTTGCTTCTTTGATGTGTGTGTGGAGGTTGTCATGGTGGAAGCAAGAAACTGATCTGATTGGAGATGTTAAATGCAACCATGACGTCACCGTACAAAAATAACCCAAAAATAACCAGTGTTTTTTTACAAAATTAGGGTTATTTTTACGCCAGGACTGCAAGACCATATGTGTATGTACGGATCACCGTGCGGTCCTGTCGTGGTCCTCGGAAGATAATAATTATATAATAGCAATGTACGTACGTATGGTAGTACCATACAGTACTTCTACTAAAAAGTACTGTACGAAGTAAAGTAGTTCTTCAGTACAGTACAGTACTTCGTAGTATGTGTACGTCCTTCATACGTGTCGGTCGCAAGAAGATCGCAAATCTCGAGTTCAACTTTCGATCAACTTCCAGAAGAGAAAAAATCCAAAAACCATTCGGCAGGTTCTTCGCTGCTGGTGATTTTTTCTGGTTGAAATCACTAGAGCCTCCAACTTCCGTCGGTCCAGAAGCAATCTCATAACTTCCAATATCTCACCAAACAGTACATCACAATGAAGACCGCTATTTTCGCCTCCCTCATCGCCTCGGCCGCCGCCTTTGCCCCTGCCAACAAGGCTGCCTCCTCCTCTGCCGTCAAGGCTTTCGAGAATGAGCTCGGTGCCCAGCCTCCACTCGGATTCTTCGATCCTCTCAACCTTGTTGCCGATGGTGATGAAGAAAAGTTCGCCCGTCTCCGATACGTCGAACTCAAGCACGGACGTATCTCCATGCTTGCAGTTGCCGGATACCTCATTGCAGAGGCCGGAATCCGTCTTCCCGGAAACGTCAACTACTCTGGACTTGGATTCTCTGATGTTCGCAACGGATTCGCCGCCTTCAACGATCTTGGCGGAGCCGGTATTGGCCAAATTGTTGCCTTCGTTGGACTTTTGGAACTTGCCGTCATGAAGGATGTCACCGGAGAAGCTGAATTCCCTGGTGATTTCCGTAACGGAGCCATCGACTACGGATGGGACACCTTCTCCGAAGAGACCAAGTTGCAGAAGCGTGGAATCGAATTGAACAACGGACGTGCCGCCATGATGGGAATCTTGGCCCTTATGGTTCACGAACAATTGGGAGTCTCTCTCATCCCTAGTGTCTAAGCAAGAGGGTTCGGAAGTGCTCCTTACCTCACATCTCGACACATAGAAGCTAGAATTTTTGGTGGATTATCAACTATTATTTAGATTCAATATTTTCTCCCAAAGAAACTTTTGTGGTTGCTATTGATTTGATCTACATGCAGCCAGAGCTAAAATCGAAACTTGGTTCTTTTGATGCGGCGGAATTGCACTAAATAGTTTTCGTAATTCCTAAGACGACAAAGCACAATGTATGCGGGTGGTCTTCATTCTGTATTTAGCAGTTCCATAAAGTTGATGACATTGCTTCCTGTTGTCAAACTGCAGAGTAAAACTTCGAACACATGGAATGGACTTCCTTGCAGTCAGGAAGTAACGAAGTACGAACGAACCCGTACGTGGTGGCAGTGAAAATGGTAGGAGGAGCAAGATTCGGAGTAAATACTAATACCGGTACGAATAATCGTACATTGTTGTACATTAGATTGTTAAAAAATATTACTCGTAGTTTTTCTGGATTTTAAATTTCTGTAGATACAGTTCATTACTCTGTACCTACCATGGATAGTACAGAACGGTAAACACGAGTACGATTACTACTTCGTACTACGTAAAAATTACGAGTACGTACCGGTACGAGTACTCGTACGATGCGATTGAGCAAAAGCATGAGGTGCGCCAAAATTGAGAATAACTTAACTCTATCCTTAGAAATGATTTCATTGAAGTTTGATCCTCCGATCCTTTTCTTTGTGAACTCTGTGGTTACGAGCAAACTTCACGTAGAAAGGATCTGATGAATAATGACGTAAAAGGACGCCGACGGGTTCTCAACATCGAAACTTCTCGACACTCGTGCTCATAACTGCACCAAATCGAACAATAGAATAATACAATGAAGTCCGCCATCCTTGCCTCCCTCATCGCCACCGCCGCCGCTTTCGCCCCTGCGCAGCAAAAGGCCTCCACCACATCTTTGAGTGCTTTTGAAGATGCCCTTGGAGCTCAGCCTCCTCTTGGTCTTTACGATCCTTTCGGATTGATCGCCAACGGAGACCAAGATAGATTCGACCGTCTTCGATACGTCGAACTCAAGCACGGACGTATCAGTCAATTGGCTTTCCTCGGAAACATCATCACCCGTGCCGGAGTTCACCTTCCTGGAGACATTGACCAGTCCGGTGACGCCTTCGCTTCGTACCCCAACGGATGGGCCGCCGTTGGTGCCGACGGTATCTCCCGAGCCGGAGTTTACCAAATCATCGCCTTCATTGGATTCCTTGAATTGTTTGTCATGAAGGATGTCACTGGAGAGGGTGAATTCCCTGGTGATTTCCGCAATGGATTCATTGATTTTGGATGGGACAAGTTCGACGAAGCGACCAAGCTCAAGAAGCGAGGAATCGAACTTAACAACGGACGTGCCGCCATGTTGGGAATCTTCGGGCTTATGGTTCACGAACAACTCGGCGGAGAGCTCCCTATTGTCGGACAAATGTAAGAAGTTCAACTTGGAACTCACACAATTTGCCTCCCTCTGATTTGGTATGGAAGACGAAAGGATTTTTTTACGTAGACTCCTTTAGTGCACTTCTTTGATAGCTATTAAGAAAAGTAATCTAAAGTATTGAAAGACTACATATTCTTGCCTTGGACCAACATAAATAAAATGTGAAGTATTTACTTCAGTTGAGGAATGCAATTGTGTCCTGATTGCCATGAAATTGCACACGTACCAAAGCGCTACATGTGCCTTTGCTAAATAGTGTGACATCAAATTCATGAGATCACTTCCTTTGATTGAAAAACGATGTGTACCGGTATGGTAGGAAATTTTTGTCAAGTTTTGGGTTGACATTCGAGGGAACAATCTAAACGATACAACCATCAAATATCGAAAAGCATGAAGTATGATACCGGCATCGAAGTATCAATTCACAAAAAATAGTTTCTTTGAATACAGCTGCATCGCACAGCTCTTCCTTAGGTGCTTCATTCGCATTGGCCACGGTCATGCTTGCAACGACCAGACTTGATAACGGGTCAATTTTTATATAACTAAGTCGTTTGTTTCGCCATTATCCATCTGTCTGTTAAAAATTGGTTATCCATCGACGAGAGAATTTGCAGATTTTCTACTTCTTAGCAGGGGCACCATCCTTCTCGTGAAGACCAGTTGCTCCAGCCCTAGGCAAAAGTTCGTCAAATGACGACCCAGTAGATCCTACCTTTGCGAAGAGCTGTTCGATTAATTTCGCTTGCATTTCAAGCTCGCGTTTCATGAATGCCACCTCTGTCGAGTCGTTGCCAAGTGAATTGGTAACAGGAGCAGGAGCATTCACTGATGTCGGTGGTGTGTTTTCGCCAGCGAACGAAAACCCGGAATCGATGGATTGCAAGGAGCCATTGCTGCCGCTCAACGATTTGGATCCATTGGGTTTCGATAATCCCTGTTTCTTGGACTTTGATTGAGTCATTCGCAACACCTGGTCACCGTTCCAGAAAAAATCGGGATGATACCCAGCATACATGGTTATGAGGGCTTCGTTGTATTGAGCCTGGAAAGTGACCAGTGGCAACTCGTTTGGGAAGTTACGAAATGGGTTTTCTAGATCTCGTGCTACTTCGTTGATTCCTTGAAGACATAGGACGGTCAAAAAGGTCAGAAGGGCGCCCACTGCCGGTTCATCGGTATACTGGTGCATCAAGAAGGGCACAACAATAATAATAAATAGAACAAAGATGACCGAAAGCTGGGCGTGGTTAAAGGGAAAAGGAATGAACATGATTTTCCGCGAGTGGTTGTAGTAAATCATTCCGTCACCCAAAAATTGAACGATACGACTTATAATCGGCGGTCCCACATCGCCCAAAGTTCCCGCCAAATGCTCTCGAATGATGAATTCGGTCAACCAGTTGAAGCAGAGCTGTGTCTTTGCCGATGCCCCCCTAGCAAGTTGCAAGAAATGAATTTCCGCATCGGATACGCCACCAATCACCGGCAGAGGCTGGGCCGCATTGTGCTCGCTTCGCTCTTCTTTGCTGAGGCCGACACCCAAAAAAGTTTTCAGTGCAGTAAAAAACGCCTTAAAACCAGTCTGCTTGAGCAATTCTTCGTTGTTTGGGTCGACTTCAGGCCATGGGGAGCCCGGTTCGTAAATTGAGAGCGGTGATTCGGATTCTTCCTTGTCATTTCTTAGCGTTGCCAAGGCGACGGCGTTCATCAAGCTGCTCAGGTGAGCCAGCTCTTGTATAAAGAGAGGAGGTGTCCGACCTCCTTGCATGCTTGCGAAACCCTTTGAGTCGATCTTGTTGGGATCATTGGGGTCCATAAACGTACTGAGCTTTTTCTTTTTCTTTTTGCTATAGTACTCCCCCCAGTTCCCATCCATTCTTGGTTTTCCGACAAGGGGGATAGGTTCCAATGATTTCTCATCAAAAATTCCTTCCTCATAAATTTCATCACTCTCTGAATCCATCATGTCTCGTGATACGTCCAAATTGTACAATGTTCGAATGCTCTCTGAAAACGTAGACATCTTCGAATACTCTTTGGCCCATGCTCGTCTCGATTCTGCGCGTGGCAAGGAACGGTGACTAGATGTCTTGTTAATTGACTTAGCAACTGCTCGCGCCTTGTATTCTTTGCTTTTTTCCTCGGTGCTACGCCCCTTCAAGTCTTTTGGCGCATTTCGGCCATATTCTCCACTGGAAGCATCGCTTCGTATGGAGCCACTCAATGATCTAGCCGAGAACATTTTACGGGATGGCATTGGGGGGTAATTCTCCGTAGGTGCTGATGTTTGAGTTTGACTTTGTTTTCGATTTCTCAACCCCACGTTGTTGTCGTCCTTGGTCTCTTCGTCATCTACATCGTGAATAGAATGTGTGTGCGAACGCTCACGATCCCGAGTCATGTTCAAATGATTGAGCTCGGGGTAATCGTAAAAGGAAGGCGGCTTAATGTCATTATAATGGTCGCATTGCATGTGGTAGCAGCAAGTGTGTGATGTTGCATCCAACCATTTCGACATGAACTGATAAGTTGAACTACAAGCTTCCCAGTATCGATTGTAGGATTGGCTTAGCTTGAAGATGATCAGAAAGGTGGAACTGGAAACCAAAACACCGATGGCGTATGGATGGAGAACGTCATCAGCAGCAAATCCAGCGTATTCGGTGTTGTACTTATGGTATAGAAAGTATGCCAATACTGAAATCATGGACGGCAATACCGATCGATACACGGCAGAACCATGGGCCCGAAAGATCAGTCTCCACCCGAATGCGGACCGGTTGTACGTGATCATATTGATGAACCGAACTTGGTTCTTGTTCCGTGTCTCTTGTTCAAATCGAAATCCCTACCTTTCTTTTTTGTCTTGCCGCAGCTCGGCAATGAGATGGCAATTTTGATGCCGACCAACTCAAAAGAAAACAACAACGTACGGGCCTCGGCTTCGCCTCCATCGAAATGGCTTCGAGCAACTCAAGTCGGTCTCCGAGTACGAAAAATATTGGTACACGCGCAATGAAGATGAGAAGAAACTACAACTGGCCGGTGAGTACCGTAGTACGGTACTCGGATTGTTCCACAGCAACTGTACTAGTAGTAGAATTCTGTATTCAAATTCGAAATTCAACGTGATCGACATGAACTCGAGGAGAACAGCTCTTGGAGCGTGGGTGTTAACGATCAGGGACGAAGAAATGCCATTAAATAGCAACTACGAGTTACGATTCGAATCGTTGGGTTGATCGACCGGCTCTGGCGATGAACATATCAGCTATTGTTTGACTTGGCTCTCGCGAAAAATTTTTAACTGCTAGCGCCGGCCACCCTCTAATAAATAATAAAATCTCCACCATTTCCCCCCCTCCAGTTCTTTGTATTTCTAGTTTTACTATTAGTACCTGGTAGTAGTAGTAGTAGCGCTCTTACTACTGTTATTTGAGAAGCTTTATTGCCAGCAATAGTAAAGGATCCTAATGCTTGCTAAAGAAAAGAGGGGACAGGGACTCCTCCACTACGTCACATTGGAGATGTGATGAATCATCAGCAATGACGACATTCATGTTGGTGCGGCTGGTGGTGGTATTACTAGTAGATACTTTCTTTTTGCTGCTGTGAATTGAGCACATAATATAGTAGCAGATACTGTGTAGGTTTTCACAATATGTGATTCCCCAAGGATGCCATTTTCACTCCTGAAAAATAACCGAAGAGTGACATTTCACCAGATAGTACTAATTTACAGCTTCCTCTTTGCAAAGAAAGCAGCAGCATGGTATCATACTAGTACTGGGTGAGAACAAAATCTGTTGATAATGCCATGAGCCAAGGTTCAATCCTGCTCCACCAGCACTACAGGAGAGCCCTGTCATATTTCATGATATGTTGTTGTGGTCGTGGTGTTGATAACAATCCTAGTACTAAGAAGTTCTTGCAGCAAGAAACAATGAACAATCCAATCAAAGCTGAAATTAAGAACAAAAGAACATCGTATCATATAGAGTGGGCCAAGCAAAAAAAGACGGCCCCAGTTGTACATTAGCAATGCTAGATATACGTACACGAATATCGATCAATACTTATCGTATGTTTGCCGTACTCCCCCACAGCTTTAGTAGCAGAAAGTTCTTTGAATTCTCTTTTTAACCATGCACTTGCCATACTTAAGTGTCCATTGGGGAAAAAGTTCTAGCCCAAACTGTCAGTTCAAGACTGAAACAGTTATACGGTCAAATTATACATTGCATGAAATACATGTACTCTTAAGTGTTTTAGTATGTATGAATGATAAAATTATAAGATTAACAAAGTGTCACCACTGTGTTATTATGAGTCAACACTGGGAATTCTTGAGTTCTGATTAGATCCCTATGTAGATCATGGTACTGATCCTACTGGGGTTCTTTCTATTCTTAACTTGTGACATCTTTATTCTTTGCAACGTCACCGTACCTCTTATCTTAGACCTCTCCTCGGTTCTCGGTACAATGGATTGTATGATGTATATATATGAACAGTATCTTAAGATGAGTAGGTAGGAATGGTATGTCCAACCATACCAATCCTGTATCCGTAATCTCTTATCATACATATGCTTAATTTTGTATCATACATACGTACTCCGTTGCATACATGTGTGTGGATAACCGGCCATCTAATTACTGTGTAATGACTTGTGGGATTAAAAATTGACTTGTACTACAGCTACGGCAAGCACATGCAAGTGAAACTATTTGGTCGCACGTGGCATTCAAAATTATTTGGTTGCACAACTGGTGGGAATAAAATTTGATCTGTACCAGTAGTATGTACATATGGTACAAGTACTGCAAAAGATAGCCCGTAATCTACGACTGGGACCGTACATTAGCTGGCCAGCACTATATGATAGACAACTAGAAATAGCAGAAAGAAACTTGAACAGACCTCTCTTCTTGAACAAATACGAGGAAGAAATCAAGGATCTGCCCACATAATTTATCAATTACTGCTTCATCTCTTGTTTGTATCACCATACTGCAGTAGTGTCAACCAGCACAAAGCACACCAGCAGGCAGGCTGGTACTACTACTAGTAGTAGTACTAGCAGCAGTAGAGGAATCTAGTAGTACATACAGCAGTGATGTAAGATGTCACAAAAAGTGATTGCAACCCATACTATCACCTCTACAGCAGTGCCCCTCTTTTACTTTTTACCTTTTAATTTTTTCCAGGCTTGTGCTCCCTTTTGTTTCAGTCAGTTTTGGTTGAACCACCAGCAGAGTTAGTATGTCAATAGCAAAGATGGTCACAGTTTTATTTTATAGCATGGTTCAGGGGTGCTCCATATTGTGAGGATCACTTTTCAAACAAGACGACAGAATGTTTTTGCACCATCAAGTCATTTCTACTCACTGCTGTAAATCATCCTCATCAGAAATCTCCCATAAACCCTCCAGTTTGATTATCGAAGAACTCAATACCGCCAGCAAGAAACCAATCACACATGCATTCTATTTCTTCCTGTCAGCCTCAAGTAGCTAGCATGCTAGAATTTGATTGTTTTGCTGCTGTGCTGAGTCTGACTATCCCTTGGATGAACAACTCTGTTAATTTTTCAGGTTGTGTTTTTCACCAATAAACAACTGCATACTATCAAGAATGCAATTTGTTCTAGTGGATTATATCCATTCTTTGCTCTGATGTCACCATTGTCACTGTTATGTATCATCCAATCACCATCCCCCAACAGCAACCATTTCATCTGACACTAGTAGTAGTGACAACCCTCCACTCACCACTAGTCCCCTTCTTTCTATGCCATGTGGCTCTTCAAGATTTGCACCCAATAGTAGACAAATCTATTCCTGATTTATTTACTCCAATTTGTCGGTAGACAAAACTCTTCCAGACAATTGTGATTAATACTTCTTCGAAGACAGTTTAATTGATACTAGTACTACTAGCTACTAGTACAAATGCTCACAACAAAAGACACGTCAGAAATTGTTATTGGAAAGGAGTCATCTGAGGAGCTATCCAACTATTTCCAACCAACCACCATGGACAAAGAGTCAATCTTTGCTCTTGCAAAGAAGAGAAGTGAGATAGCAATATAGACCATGATAGATGTTCTTGATCTCTCTCTCTCTCTCTCTCTCTGACTTGGCTGGTGTTTTGACAGCTAATTTCTCTAGCATTGAAACATAAAAAAAAATGAACCCTCCTATATGGAAGCACTCCGTACTAATGCCATTATTGCACAAATGTACTAGAAAGAGATGTTTGAGGAGATAATTGTTCAGGAATGCAATGTCAATGAAGGCTACTACAACTCTAACTAGTACTACTACTACTAGTTGGAGGTTTAACAAAGGCTACTAGCAGCAGTACTTTTTAAAAAATAAAAAAAATCTTAATATTATTTTTAACCTCGTGAA